GAGCTAGTTCCAGGACAGCCTCCAAAGCCACAGAGAAAACCTGTTTCAAAACCAAAAAAGAAAAAGAAAAACAATGCTGTGTGTAATTCTGGTTACTTCATTCCTTGGGGCATTCAGGACCAGTGGCTCTTGTCTTCAGACACTACCTTTGACCCTTAACCCTGTTCTCTCCTTATATTACTCAAGACTCCAGCACCCAGCCGGACAGCGTCTTTTTCTGAGTCCAGAGCTGATGAAGTGGCACCTGCAAAGAAAGCCAAACCAGCCATGCCCCAAGGTAACTCCCAGCTGTTTAGCACAGTGCATGAAACAGTCTCTGGTGTCCTTCCTGTCTCTCCCTGTCTGGGGCCTGTCTGGAAGAGGCAGCAGGGAAGGAGTTCGAGCTTGGCGTAGGACTGGGCCTCAGCCTGAAGTGGGAGTGGCTCTCATGAGGATGAAGTGACTTCCCTGTGGGTTCTGCAGCTGAGCATCCACACTGCCTGGATCAGCTCCCTCCCTTCCATCTTCTACCCCTCTTCTGGGGCTGTGAACTGAACTGGGAGGAGATAGGAGGATTTCAGCAAAACCAGGAAGAGGAATGTTCTCTGACTCCTACATAAAAGACAGCAGCTGGGGGGTGGAGACAGCAAAGCTAGCTCAACAGTCGTCTGTCTTCCCCCACCAGCTAGGGGCTCTTAATACACTTCTCTCTATGCACCCTTGTCTCCTAGCCCTTGCACACACCACCTAGTTTATCTCCATCCCAGTGACAGCTGACCTGCCAGCACTCACACGAGCAGTAGATGAGTGACACTGGCTTCCCCTGGCTGACAGCCTTGCAGTTCTTTGTCATACAGTCAAGCTGGACTAGGACATCTTAGAAATCATGACAGTAGATACTCAAGATTAGAAGTCTCTGCCTTGCAGTCTTCAAGGTATCACCTTTGTCCACAGCGGGGAATAGTGGACCCAGCACCGTGCTGGTTTAATCATCATACTAGGCTGCATGAGGATAGAGGGATTGGCATTAAGAGGGTATGACCCAGCCGGCCTGGAGGCCCAGATGGAAGTATGTCACCTGGAGGGCCCGGAGGAGGTTTCAGTGTTCAGTACACTTGCCTAGCCTTCTTCTTTTTGCCCTCTCTCTGTACCCCAATTCTTTGTCTTGCTTGCTTCTGTTCTGCCCACTGGTGCTTTTGCCTCTTCAGTTGGCGTTATTCAGTGACAGCACCGGAAGGCTTGTCTGTGGGACTGTCCACTGTTTCTGCGCTCCCACCAAAGCCTCCCACCAGTTCACGCAGTTTCCTTGGTCATTTTCTTTAACAGATTCAGTCCCAAGTCCAAGATCCCTGCAAGGTAGGATGCCCCGACCCTGCCCCAACTCTGCGTGCGGCTTTGTTAGTGGGTTCCAGTTTCTCTGTGTGCTTTGTTTCTTCCTTCCCTGGTGGGTTGCAGTGTTGTGTAGTATATTTTCTATCCCCACCTTGGTGTGGCCTGCCCCCACCCCCAAGTCCTAGTCTTTGCTCCTTATCCCTTCCCTATCCTACTTAGTACTTACTTGCCTAGCACAGCACTCTCTTCACTGTGTGGTTGTCTCTGGCTCCTTACCTTGGAGGGAGGTGGAGATGTAAGAAGGAGCAAGAGGCAGCCCACAGTGGAGACTTAGGGGTACCAGGAGGGAGGCTCCTGGGAAAGGGCAACATCCAGCTGAAAGAGGAGTGGCAAAGAGCCTCTGACTGCTGGCTGTTGTAGGGAACCACAGCTCAACCCTGATTCTCATCTGCATCTCATCTTTGCCTCGCTTTTCCTGCCTCAGCTTCAGTACTGACAACTGCATCCCACGGCTCCCAATTCCAGACCAGTGTAGATTTCTCCCAGGTTTCCATCGAAGAGCAAAGATGTAAAGAGAGAAGCCAGGAAGGTCAGGTGGTGTCTATCTCTAAAACAGGTTGTTTTAAGACCTGAAAGGATCTGGGCTTTGGTGTCTGAGGCCACAGTTTACAGGGCACATTCTCAGCACATACACTTACTCGTACACATACATTTGCCCATTGACAAGCAAGTAGATTACTCATTTACCAGCATCAGAACTTCTTGTGCCTTTTTCCCAGTACTTGGGATCAAACTCAGAGCCTTCTTGCATGCAGAGCTCTACCACACCTCTCCGTGTAGCTGACATTCATGGCTGGAAGTGCAAGAGAGTTCATTGATGACTTTGATCTCTAGGGTGGGTAGGAATATCTAAACAGCAGCCCTAGCTAGCTAGCTAGCTAGCTTTTTTTGAGGGAGGATTTCTCTGTAGCTTTGGAGGCTGGCCTTGAACTCAGAGATCCCCCCTGCATCTGCCTCCCAAGTGCTGAGATTAAAGGTGTGCAGCACCACTGCCCAGCTTAGCTTTTTTATTTTAAAGATTTTTTGGGTTTTTTTTTTTTTGGCTTTTGGAGACAGGGTTTCTGTAGCTTTGGAGCCTGTCCTGGATCTCGCTCTGTAGACCAGGCTGGCCTCGAACTCA